GGGAAAAAAAAAAAAAGCTCCTACGGTAACCGTCAAGGATAAGGACAGCTCCCCATCCCAGCTCCACGACTCTCGCCGACGTCGGTACAAGCGCAGACACACGCCAGAGTGATTTAGCAGGGATCCAACAGAAAAATCCAGCCGTGGGACTCCCGGGAACCAGAAAGAGAAAAGTGTATTGGACGATTGTTGGAAAAATTTCCATCTCTTCAGTCTTATACCCGAACTCCTGCCTCGCGACGAGCTCATCAATTCCTTCTTTTCACCTTTGCGATACTTTCGGGAGTTTCTGTTTTACGCAGTGCCTTAATTAATTTTCCATCTTCCCCTCCCTATCGTCAAAATGTCCCCTCCTGCTGCTTCTGGTCGCGAGAAGGAGTCCGGCCTGGCTCGTGTGCTTGGTTCCGGTATGTTTGCAATCAATTGAAACGCTTCTCACGACATTGTTTGGCGTCTCAAAAAATCATGACAAAATGCTAACATGTTTCGATAGGTTCTGCTGGTATTGCTGAGCTGGCTGTCTTCCACCCTGTACGCAACCCCACGTCTACGATGACCACATCGAACGTCGCGATAATACTTCGAAATGTTCGCTAACCCCGCCATAAGGTCGACACCATTGCGAAACGATTGATGAGCAACCAGAGTCGTGTAAGAAGCAACGCCCGTCTCGATTTCCGCGCATGGACAAGTTATTGATATGCCTGCCTCTAGATCTCCGGTTCCAGCCAATTGAACCAAGTCATTTTCAAGGACAAGGCCTCCGCTCCCATCGGACGAAAGTTCGTCTCTCTGTTCCCTGGTCTGGGATACGCCGCCGGTTACAAGGTCCTCCAGCGAATCTACAAGTACGGTGGTCAGCCCGTCGCCCGTGATTTCCTGGCCAAGAACTATGGTGCCGACTTCGAGAATGCCTTTGGCAAGAAGACTGGCAAGGCGATTATGCACTCCACTGCTGGAAGGTATGATAAGATCGTCAACGTTTCTCACCGAGACCGGAGAACTAATGCGACCGCAGTTTGATTGGTATTGGTGAGATTGTTCTCCTGCCTCTCGACGTCCTCAAGATCAAGCGTCAGACAAACCCCGAGGCTTTCCGTGGCCGTGGTGTCCTCAAGATTGTTGCCGATGAGGGTTTCGGTCTGTACCGTGGTTGGGGTTGGACCGCCGCCCGCAACGCTCCCGGTTCGTTCGCTGTACGTATCATAACCTCCGATATCAATTGGATTGAAGAACTGACACAATGCAGCTGTTTGGTGGTTCTGCCTTCGCCAAGGAGTACCTCTTCCACCTCGAGGATTACAACAAGGCCAGCTGGTTCCAGAACTTTATTGCTTCCATTGCTGGTGCGTCTGCTTCTCTCGTCGTTTCCGCTCCTCTCGATGTCATCAAGACCCGTATTCAGAACCGCAACTTCGAGAACCCCGAGAGTGGTTTCCGAATTCTGTCCAACATGGCTAAGAACGAGGGTGCTGGAGCTTTCTTCAAGGGACTTGTCCCCAAGGTACGTTTACAATTACAAGCATGGTCATGTTTGCGACCCGCCAACTGCCACCCCCCACTTCAAGATAAAGAAGACGCTAACATATCTCCCTGCAGCTGCTTATGACTGGTCCCAAGCTGGTCTTTTCTTTCTGGCTTGCCCAGACTTTGATTCCCGCCTTTGACATCGCTTTCAAGAAGTAAAGATCGCAGTAGAACTGGAATTCATGCTATAGATATACGAATCTAGATACCACCAAATCTAGAGGGGATGACGAAGAAGGCTTAAAAGGGAGTTTAGACGGATCGGGTTATTTGTTGGTTTCCATTGCTACGATAGACATGCCGCACCGATATGGGAAGATCGGGCCTTGGGGGAAAAGATGGATGGATGGATGAACTCAACTCTGTATAAAAGAAAGCGATTTGATTTGAAATGACAAACGTCACTCACCTATCTTGCACCGTAATTTAATTTCCAGTGTTTCGATCGATGTGATCAGTACCGTACCGTTCATCATTGTTTTTTTTCTCACTCACCGTCACAGTTTGTTTGCAGTTACAGCCGCAGTGTCTAGACGGTCTCGATACAACCGCCCGCAAGGCCATGATCCCTGCCCTGTTGAGCGATGATGTATTTCATAGGTCTCTTGTTGCAAGGTGACCCTCAACCCCGTGGCGTGATCTGCTCTGTTGTGCGATAATCATTCGTCAATGATGGTCCATCTAAGCCGGGCGTCCGGTAAAAGCAACAGCCTAACGTCGAGTTAATTGTCGGTGCGGGTGGTTGCTGGGCAACACATCGGGCTCGAAACACAAATAAACCGGGTTGTGGCTGCGGCGACCGACAGTCCAAGACGGAGCTATAGTAGTGGGCAGCTTCTCCCAGCAGCACCGTCGCAATCGCAATTAAACAAACAATGCAGCCCGCTTTGATGTTATAACTTCAATTCCTCTTACTTTGAGCATCTGTTGTTGTACTACACGTCTGATTATTTTACCATACCACTTACTCTTACTACTTGCTTGTCTGCTTGCTAGTTCTTAACGACTATACCCCACCACTTCTACCATCTTCACCTTCACCGACGCTTTGCGTTGTAATATAATCATAGCGTGGCTGCGGCGCCGTCCGCATTCTTGTCATTGAGACAACTTCATTTTCACATACCATATCTCTCACCCAAGCAACCGGGCCAACCATGTCTGTATCGGAGAGAGACAGTTCCTACGACGGCGAGTTTCAGTTGAGACATCCCTACGCGGCTTCTTCAGATCCCAACCTTCGAGCTCTTGTTCCAATGTATGTTTTGCTGCGTATATCATGCGTCTCTTGCGTCGACTAACAGGAAACAGGTGGGACAGTTCTGACCCCGAACGTTGTCCACCTCCGCTGCCTCTCAACCCGGGATCACCATTGACCTCTCGAGCCGGCACCTCTAGCGCTATTGCTTCTGCTCACGCCGCGCTTAACGAGCGAGCGCAGCAAAGCGCAATGGTTCCCGCAAAGAGAATTGAATCCCCTACAAAGGGACATCGCCGACTGCAGTCTTCAGTCCGTGATATCAGCATGATGATCGAGGGTGCTAGCGGCCACAACTCGCCATCACGATCTCCAGAACGTCAACAGCGGCCGGAGACACCCACTCGATCAACTGATGGACGACCAAACGATAGGGATTCTACGGTGTCGAGCTCAACACCAGTACCAGGTCCTAGTCTGACCCCCATCATGCGGCCGTCTGCTCGAAGACCACCACCTCAGAGCATCCTCGGCGAAAACACACCACCACAATCATCAACCATGCTTGCTCTTCAGCACATGAGCTCAACACCCTCCAAAGAATCAGAAAATCCCCTCTCTGACATCACAAACGGCGCGACTGCCATCTCAAAGGGCCCCCAGAACCTTGAGGCGCTGTCCGACCAAATTCTCAGCCTGACTAGCATCGCTACAGGCCTTCAAAAGGAAATGTCTCAGTTGAGCCGACGCAGCAGGGACAACGCCACCGACCTTCTCAGCCTCAAGGAGGCAACAAACTCAAGAGACGAAGACATCCGAAGGAGTCTACGAGAACTCTTGGGGAGCCACGGTAATGCGGGTGACGGTCAAAACAGACTCCCTCCAGCCCGCGACCCCTTTGGTGGTTATTTCCTAGACAACAAGCCACACAATCTCTCCCCACCCAGCACAAGGGGGTTCCAGCTCCCTAGAATTCCTTCCCCCAAGAGCTTTGGCGACATTGAGCGAGGGTCTATTATCAGCACACCCTCGCTCGTGGGCTCAGAGGCCAATTCCTCCCTGGTTCTTCTAGAAAGAATCATTCGGGAGATGGGCACTAAGGAGGGACAAGAGTCGCTTCTTGGTCGTCTGCAGGAAGTCTCAACCAAGCTCTCGGGCATGGCCACATCCCAGAAGCTTGATGAAGTCATTGACCAAGTCAGAGCTCAGTCTGAGCAAGCCATTATCCTGGGCAACGGCCTTGGGAGTCCCAATGCGAGCCGGTCTCGCAACCTCAGTTTTGAGTCAGAAGGCAGCAGTATGCCTGGTCAGGCGAGGAGCGCCGTTTCTCAGCGCGTTGAACGCATCATGAAGAATGAGGCTCGCAGAAATTCTGAGCCCTCGGCGAGGGGTTCTGATATCCTCAATGACGATCTGATGAGTATCATTCGATCTGTCAAGGATAGCGTCTCCCAAGGGGGAGGTCTCACTGCTGAGGTGAAAGCTCTCGTTCGTGAGTTGCGAGGCGAGGTTCTGGGTATGGGTCGTGAGATTGGCCGCCGCCTCGACCAACAAGCAGCCTCCAAGAAGGGTGTCGAGGACCACGATACCCCCAGCAAGGATGAGGTCGCTCGAGTTATCGACGAAGGACTTGAGCAGATGAAGGACCAGCTCAACCACGTCCTTCGTGAACACAGACGCCAATCAGCTGCTTCAGTTAGCACCTCGAAGAGTGCCGTCGACTACCAGGAGATCTACAATGCTATGCGCGCTGCTATCCAAGACAACGAGGCGACCAAGAGCAACTTGCCTGACTTGAGCCGAGAAGACGTCATCGAAGCTGTCAGAGACGCCTGGGAGAACTACAGGCCTGAGATCGAAGTTCAGCAGATTGGTCTTGAACGCGATGAGGTCTTGGCTTGCTTGAAGCAAGGTCTGCAGGAGTACTCGCACCGCGGCGACCAACCCCCGGCCGCAACCAGGGATGAAGTTTTGACTGCTGTGGTCGAAGGCCTCCAGCACTACGTCCCGCCTCAAGTTGACCAGCCCGCCACACTCTCTCGAGATGAGATCATCGACGCTGTTCGTGATTGTCTCGAAGAGTTCGAATTCCCTGTGGCCCCAGGTGCTGGTGGCGATTTCACTCATGAAGACATGGTTCATGCCGTGAGGGAGGGTCTCCAAGATCTTGACGTTAACACCAGCCGCGCTCTTGTACCCGCTTCATCTGGCAACAATGATGATGTTAGCGATCGTCTTCGTGAGATTATGGAGTATCTTCGCAACGAGTTCAAGACAATGTCCGAAGAGACAAAGGAGAACGTTGCCGCCAACGGCCGTGATACCGAGCAAGTCCTTAGCACTACCAAGGATGGCTTCGAAAGCCTCCGACAGGCTATGGAGAGCTATGTCGACCGTGCCACAGGCGCTGCTGGTCAAGAAGAGTTCATGGACGATCTTCTAAAGTCTCTTGAAGATTTCAAGGACGAGATGGCAGGTCTTGTAGAGACTACCAGTCAGGAGTCTCGAGACCAACTTCAGACTGAACTCGAAGGCCTTCGAGAAATCGTCAACTCCTCCATGATCCCTGCACCACCACCTCAGTCGAACAACACCGAGGTTCTTGAGGCTTTGAACACTGGTTTCAACAACTTGAGACAGGAAGTTCTTCGACCCCGCGCGGAGACAAGCGAGATCCTTGATGCTCTCAACGATGGCCTCAATGACCTTCGAGCCGGCATGGATCGAGTGACCAACAAGCCTACTGACTTGACCGCGAATGATGAAATTCTCGATGCTCTGAAGGCTGGTCTCGACTCTGTCCGCGCCGACATCGAGTCTATTCGCGACAGCAGCAACGACCGTGCTGTGACGACGCTTAACAATGCCGCTCCTGCTGCCAACGACGAGCTCCTCGAAGCCCTCAAGTCAGGACTCAGTGGTGTGCGAGCAGACCTCGAAGCCCTTCGTGATAGCCAAACTGAAAAGGCTGTTGCAGTTGTTGAGCCCAAGGAGAACGATGAGGTCCTCGAGGCTTTGAAGAACGGTCTTGATGCTCTCCGTGTTGACATTGAGGCTATTCGTGAAAACACAACCGAGAAGGCTGTCGCGAACGTCGACACCACATCCAACGACGATGTCATCGCCGCTGTCAAGACTGGGTTGGAATCTCTGCGAACTGATTTCGAAGCTGTCCGTGAAAGCAGCGAGAAGGCTATAGCTCCGGTGGACAACTCCTCTTCCAGTGCGGAGTTCGTTGAAGCCTTGAAGAATGGTCTCGAATCCCTTAAAGTCGATCTCGAGTCGGCTCGAGAGAAGAGTGACCAGTCTTCAGAGGAGAACACCTCGAACGATGAGGTTATTGTCACTCTCAAGAATGGTCTCGATTCGTTACATGCTGAAATCGCTGCCCTTGCCAGCAAGGAGAAGTCTGAAGAGGTGGTGGAAAACACATCCAATGACGAAGTCATTGTCACCCTCAAGAACGGACTGGATTCCCTGCATGCCGAGATCGCAGCTCTTGCTAATCAGGAGAAGCCCGAGACAGTCGAGAACACTTCCAATGATGAGGTCATCGTCACTCTCAAGAACGGACTCGATTCTCTTCACACTGATATCGAAGCCCTCACGACTGCCCAGAAGTCTGCCACCCCAGATGAAAGCACAACCAATGATCAAGTTATCGAGGCCCTCAAGACTGGTCTTGACTCTCTTCGCAGTGACATTGAAGGTCTGCAAGAAAGCAACCAGAAGGCATTGGCTCCTGTGGCTGATGCTAAGCCCAACGACGAGATCCTTGATGCTCTGAAGACTGGTCTCGAGTCTCTTCGCACTGACATCGAAGCTCTCCGTGACACTAGCAACGAGCGAGCCATCACTCCTGCAGAGTCCGCATCCGATGAGAAGATCCTGGAAGCCCTCAAGACTGGTCTCGAATCAGTCCGATCCGACATCGAGGCTCTCCGGGATAGCAACGGAGAACGGGCCCTTCTTGCTGTCCCAACAGCGAAGGCTGAGGATGGTGAATCTGGTGAGAGCATCAAGTCAGACGATGTCAAGAACCTTGAGGTCCTCATTGCTGGCCTTGCGATCAAGATTGACTCTGTCAAGGCCGAAAACGAAGGCGTCAAGAAGGATGATCTGTCTCGTATGGAGGAGCTTCTTCGAACAGTCCAGGATAGTGTTGATGAGATCGCCTCTCGAGAGACTCTCACACGATCCGTCTCAGTCAAGAAGAAGAAGGACGAAGGAGCCGAAGAGCCTGCCAGTGAAATCCAAGGTGATGCCGAGGAGCCTGCGTCAAAGGAGGACATGCAAGCCATTGAGACGATTCTCCGCAACACCAAGGGCAAGCTCGACGATCTCATCGAGGGCGAGCAAGCTGTTCGCAAGGACCACATCGACAACGTGGAGGCCCTGCTACTGGAGACACGCGAGACTATGGGAACTCTCACTACTCAATTGGAGACCGTCTCGCGCAAGGAAGAGATCACATCATTGGAGTCTCTTCTCACCCAAGTCTCAGCTGGACTCGATGAGATCAAGGAGCAAGCCACCAAGGAAAGCGAGAACCCAGAAAAGGTTTCTAAGGGTGATGTCGAGGCCGTCGAGGCTTTGGCCCTTGAGATCAAGACATCCCTCGAAGGCTTTACCAGCACTGATCTTGCTCTTCTCGCCCGCAAGGAAGACGTCACCAACCTGGAGGCCCTTCTTGTGAAGAAGGAAGATCTTGCAGGCCTCGAGACCATCGTCAAGGAGTTCCAGGAGAAGCTTGACACGACCGTGGACGCCCAGACCAAGGCCATTGCTGTCCGCGACGAGGAAAGCACTTCTGTTGGCGACCGTGTCACCGAAGTCAAGAACTTCCTCGAGGAATTCCAAGGCGCAATTAACACCAAGCTCGAAGAGGGCTCCACTGGTGTTGAAGGCGTTAGTAAGCTTCTTGAATCTATGGGCGAGAAGATTGACAAGAACGAGAATGTTCACCAGGACCTCAAAGACATGCTCGATACAATCAAGGCTGAGTTTGAGGACTCCAAGGCTGTCGTGTCTGGTGTCAAGATTGAGTCCAATGAGAAGCTCTCAGAGGCCACGGAAACTCTGGGTAGCAAGATCGACGAGAAGATCAGCGAGCTCGTAGAGAAGTACGAGACCCTCCAGACTACCCTTGATGAACGAAGCAAGGTCACTGAGGCCCGAGATGAGGCTATGGAGGCAGCCGTTGTTGGCTCCAAGACTGTCACAGACGAGCTCAAGCTTCTTATTGATACTCTTGGCTCAACTGTCACCGATTCGCTCGAGAAGATGGAGGAGGCTTCGAAGACTGTTTTCACGAAGGTGGAGGAGCTCGGCACTCGTACCGAGGAGACTCACACGGAGGACAAGGCTGAGCATCAGCAGACCCGTGATCAGATCACGGAGGCCTTGACCGCCGTCGAAGGGCTGAAAGGAGAAGTCAGCGAGACGCACCCCAAGATTCTCGAATCTGTCAAGGATATTCTCCTTCTCATTGGCGAGCACTACGAGCACTCCAAGACTTCCACAACCGAGATCCAGGACAAGATTCTTGAGCACAAGTCTCCTGAGGAGCTCATGACGCTTCTGACATTGTTGACTGACGACAAATACAACAACACTCAAGTCCATGAGAAGCTTGACAAGCTTATTGAGCAGATCTACAATGACTCAGAGGTCAAGGAGCGTCTCGACAAGATCATTGAGGAGAAGTACAACGATGCCGAGGTTCGCGAGAAGTTGGACAAGATCATCGAGGAGAAGTACGATGATGCGCCCGTCCATGAGAAGCTTGCTACCATCATTGAGTCCAAGTACGACGACTCGGAGGTCAAGGAGCGTCTCGACAAGATCATTGAAGAGAAGTACGACGACGCCGAGGTGCGTGCTAGACTTGACAAGATCATCGAGGAGAAGTATGACGATGCTCCTGTCAAGGAACTGCTGGGCACAATTATCGAGCAGAAGTACGATGACACACCTGTTCGTGACAAGTTGGACTTGATCATGGATGGCAAGTATGATGACACTATTGTCCGTGAGAAGCTCGATCTTGTCTTGGATGGACGGTACGACGATGCCGTGGTGCAAGAGAAGCTTGACAAGCTTGTTGACCACACCGCTGTCGCTGATCAGGCCTTTACTCGTCTGGACACCCTTGACAAGGTCCACGCCTCGGTTCTCAAGACAGCCTCTGAGATCTCCGACTTTCTGCATTCTCAGAAGAGGCGCATCGAGAAGGCACATGAGGACCACACCAAGCATCTTCAAGACACCATGGCGTCCGTCGAGCGCAAACTGGCTGAGAAGGACCACGTGGAAACTGCTGTCTTGAGCCTTCGAGACGAGGAGCTGAGACTTCGTCAGAGTGTTATGAGCCTCCGAACGGAACAAGAGAGTCTGATCCGTCAAAAGACACGCCTGACTGGTGATGTCTCATCACTTGAGACTGCACTCCGTATGCGCAAGGACGAGCTCTACGATATGGAGTCTCGCGCCGAGAACTTGGAGCGTCGTATTCTTGAGGGTGTTATGGACCATTCTCGAGTCCTCCTCATGTCCAAGGCGAAACGAAGCGGTAGCGATGCTATGAGCCGCAAACGCGTCAGAAAGCCTGCTGAGGAGGAGTCTCAGCAAGATGGTCGCAAGTCCATGGTGGGTATGGCACTCAACGCGAAGCGCAACTTGGCGGCTCCTGCACAGGCAGGTCGACGAATCGTTTCGCTCAGTCAGATTAACAACAACGTGACGACCGGAGGTGTTAAGCGCAGCCAAAGTGTACGAACTCCCGCTGGCGGTCCTAAACCATACCGCAAGCGAAGCTGGGGAGGTGGTCTCGACCTGGCCGACAACGACAAGGAGAACTCGGTCAACGAGACCGTCGAAGAGGTGGATGAGGCAGCTGATGTCAAGCCGGGCTTGACTGCAGAGACAATCGAGGTTCCCGCAGAAGAGACAATAGTTCTCGAACCTGAAATCAATGGTGAGGGCAGTGAGCGAGGTGACAGCGACAACGAGACGCTAAGACGGAGTAGCAGGGGCACCGTGATCACAAACAGCACGGATATGTATACGGACGGTGAAAGCTACAGCGAATACAGCTACACCGACAGCGAATGGACGGAAAGCAACGTCGGCACTGACGTAGCATCGGTTCAAGGCAACGAAGTGGTGGTTTTCGACAACTAACGAACGAACGAACGTACGGACGGCGACAAGTCTGTCTGATCTGATTTTTATTAACTGGGATACCATTCATGTTTTTGTTTGAAGGAAAAGAAAAGGAAAGGACTTGACGAAGATGGAAACACGAGTTTACTTTGGTCAAGTTTATGGGCATCTGATTAATGGGAGCGTTTCGGTCTGGCATGGGTTTGACGAGTTTAGGTTAATCGTCTCTTGTCTTTTGTTGACGGTTTGCTACGAGTGTTATTATGAGCATATGTTTTGTTTGATACCTTTAGCCGCGAAAAGGATTTACGAATCGATAACTTTATAACCACTGTTCTTTGACTCTGTGATGTTGTGAATAATGCTCTGGCTGTAGTCTAATATTGTCTTAACTGTGGTTCTCAAGACGTCAGGCGCATTAGCTTGCTCACTATGTTGACCCGCTTTACCCTTTATCTTATCAGCCATTAGGACCCCTCCGTGACCGCGTCCATCTAGAATAAACATTCAATTCGAGACAGACCATCCACGACAAGTCCCTCTGCCTTGCGTCCTTTACGCGTGTTTGGTTGAGCAAATCGACCAACATGGACCAAACTCAAGCAGGCGCTCTTCTTGACCCTCCTGAGCTCACACCGCTCGAACAAGAGGTTCTGGACGAGTACGAACGACTGGCCGACAACATGAACAAAGTATGCCTACCATTCCTTACACCGATCAAGTAGTCACTAACATGACTTGCAGCTGGCCACAATCCTCGAACATCTCGCTTCGAACCCCAGCTCAGAGATCCTTGATGGTCTTCGCGAACTCGAGCGCAAAACGAGCTTGGCCTTTACGCTACTCAAAGCCAGTGTGTACAGCATAGTCTTGCAGCAGGAGATTGATTGGGGTGATGGCTCGCAGGCGCAGTAAACAAGGACAGATCAAAATGGAGAGAGCATTTGGCGCAAGAGAATAGGATTGATACCCGGCGCAATACGAAACGAGAAACGACAGTTATCACAAGATAATAAAAACATTTGATATGATTTTCCAAGTGATGTTACATCATCTCATCTACTTCTTTAACCACATCAAGGGACATCAGCGGAGAAAAATCCTCCATTACAGGCTACATATACATGATTTCTTTTGGTAGTACAAGATGGTGCGTGAGAGTGTGGGTGTGGGTTTAGTTTAATATACAGCTCCTCCGTAGTACACCTTGCGCACATCTACCAACTTCTTGCCACGGCCGATAGCGATCTGCTCGGGGTCGGGCTGGTTGGTGAGTGCTTGGTAGGCCGCCTTGACCGAGTTCATGGGGTTCTTGGACCGGGGCATGCGGGCAGCAATGTCGTGAATACCGGCAGCGCGGCACATCTCGAAGATACGGTGGGGGCATCGAAGACCGAAGCCTGTGACATTGGTTAGTATATGTACTTTAGCTTTGATGTATGAAAACGTACCAGGAGGTCGAGCCATCAACTCAACGACAGTGCCAGAGATCTTGGAAGACACGTTGCCGTAGATGGTACGGTTCTCGTATCGGCGAACAGGCTTCATGTTGCGAATAGCCAACATCTGAGCTGTCTCCTCAGCGACACCAGGCTCAGTGGACTTGGCCATTCCGAGACCCAGACGACCGTTGCCGTTACCAGCAATGGCAACAACAGAAGTGCTGCGGACCTTACCCAGACGAGTCTGGTTAGAGACCCATCGAGTTACAAGACCCTTTGTGAGCAGCGAGCGGATCTCCTTGAGGGTCATGCCCGTCAGACGCTTGATCTCCTGGTACTTACCAGAATCGTCCTGACCTTGATCTTCGGGGTCAACAGCATGCTTGTACAGACCCTTGACACCAGGGACCTTGCCCAGGTCAGGTGCCTCAGCTGTGTATGTGCGGTCGACACCGGCGGGGCCGTCCTGGATGAGCTCAAGATTCGAGGGCTCAACTTCACCCTGGCTTCCGAAACCAACGATCTTGTCAAGCTCAGACTTCCATGCGTCATCAACAGCCTCGTCAAGCTTCTCAGCTTGAGAGCGGGTCATGAATTCAGGACCCTTATCGTTGGCAGTGGGCTCAGGGCCATCCTCGGCGATAATGTAACGCTTGATCAGCTCTGGGTCCTTCTCAATATCCTTGAGCTCCTCCTCGGTAAGGTCTATCAAGTCCTCGCCTTGGCTCTCCTTGACACGCCGCAATGCCCGAACCATGGCACGGGTAAGTTGGTCGCTTGTCTTCTTGTCGGTAATCTTTCTCATGTTCTCTCCGTAGTTATCGATCCATTGGTTCTTGTCGGGCCATTGCACCTCCCTCGGAGTGCCCTCAATCTCGGGCTTGATATCGTAGCGGGGGTCGAGCGTTGTGTAATCCTCGATGTAGGTGGGCTTGTAAGGATCGTCACGTATACGACCCTGAATGATCATATCTTCGGGACTGACAGCCTTTTCACCCAATTCGATAGCCTCGAGCTGCTCTGCCGTGTAAGAGGCCCTCATTCTCTCCAAATCCTTCTTGCTCAACTCGCCGAACTTGTCTTGCTTGTACTGTTCCATCTTGCTGGTGTGTTCGCCCGACTCCTTAATCAATCCTAGCTCCTGAGCGGTGACATTTCGGAATCGAGACTTGCGCTTAGACCGGGGTGCCGAACTGTGAAATTGACTGCATGGGATGACGGGGACGGTGATGGATGTTGAGGCTGTTCGGGATGAGGCAATGCACCTGCCGAGGAGGTTGCGCGCCGGACGTGCGACGCTCATGGTCGGCAGGAGTCGGAGGATTATCGATTCGAGAAAGGGTCCAGCGACGAGGGAGGAGGAGGTTGAGTATTGGCGTCGCTCTCTCGCTCTCTCTATATCTTTCTCTCACACGAGCTCGAGATTTTTTTGGGACCCAGGAAATGGATCTCAATTGACAAGTTCCCCATGCGGCTAGCGGCTGAACAGTACCAAGGAGCCAATCAGACAGGGTTTCGACAAGAGGTGCGTGCAAATCGCACAACCGTCTCAGGAACTTCCATTCTCCGGGACAGGATCACGTGCTGTAGGAATGCTTGTTTAAACCAACTTCATGTCGACATATCAAAGCCAGCAATAAGTCGTTAGATTATACCTGCTATTATAGCGATTCAATCACTGACTAGATAGATACCTAGTAAATCATAGCATGTTCAATAATATTCCTTCTTTTTCTTTCTACAATTGACGCTTGCACTTTTCTCTCCTCGATTCGTACTTCTCGTAGCCAATCATCGCCCATCTTCACATCATTCGACTTTTGTTACAAGGTGAAACGTCTCAGTAACACCCCCTGGAAGCCAAGTGAGTGTTAGGGGTCTGTCTTGTCTTCCACCGCCCTCACCACCCGCTGTGGGCCAATTTACCACATGTGCTTCGTCTTCCATCTCTGTCTTTTACTTTAACTCTTTCCTCTTTCTTGATCGCTTACTCTATTTTATATCGTTCTACTTCAAACACATAATTATCGTCTTTTCATCTGTACGTGACTGGAGCACGACAGTTTTATCCATTGTGTACATGATTCGAGCCTCTATACCAGCGACAATAGTAATCCGACACTCACTTTATCTCGGCCTCTACACTTCATATCAACATCATGGGTCAATTCGACTGGTTCTCTAGCATCGGCGCCACAGACGAAGCCGTTGCTGTCCTGAACGACCAACCTATCATATTCACCATCCTCTTGGTCGTCCTTGTCGCCGTTGTCGTGCAGATTGTCCTTCTCTGGTATATTCACTACGCCACCATGAAGCCTGAACAGCGCAAGGCAGCCCAGGACAAGAAGGATAAGAAGAAAGCAGCAAAAACCAAGAAGGCCGGCAAATAAAGTAAAAAACACTTCACCAACACTCTTACTACAATCTCATACTCTTTATCGATTTTCATCTGGTTTCTACCAACCCAAATCCGACCAAATCTCGCCTCACGACTCCCCTTTTCTCAGGCTCATATATCGCCGTCAAACACCTTACCAATGGACAACCATAATATAGATCCTTATACCCGGTCATCAAATTCTATCGTTTCATTCATACTTCTCATAGTTCTCCATTGATGCAACTGTTTCGTCATGTATCAGTTTCTGAATGTTACAGCGCGTTGTCGCAAACAAGCCACTGGTCCAAAGTCTGGAAGTCGCATGGGCCGCCCGTCTTGTCTTCTATTGCAAAATCATTGCCATGCGCCATCTGAACCCCATGGCTTCGAATTTGCATATGTGTCGGCTCACTCATATGTTGCGCTGTGGCTGTATAATCGTCGAGTCGGTAATTTGCTCCACCCAATTCCTCTTGTTGCCAATTCCATGGGTTCATCGAACTGCTCTGTGTACCGTAGTACTTTGATTCGGATCTATTTAGGCTGGGGCTGGCTTGTGATCGTGCATGCTGTACGTTGTATGGCAAATTGGCCATCGTGTCCCAGCTCACGCTCATTGTTGTGTTCTTCTGATTGCCTTGGTCAACATAGGGACATGTTTCTGTCAAGTCTTCCATAACCGCGACTGGCTGACTTCTGCTCTTGAAGAGAGCTTTCGCACTTGTTACGCTTGACTCCGCCGTGGAAAGCATTGACTTTTTGCGCCTTCCACTGTTGGCCACCTTGGGCACTTGAGCATGCGAAAGAAGAACTTCCCATGCTCTTTTCTCTATGCCGCCCACAGGGTCGCTTACTCCATTGTGTGAAGGATCAAGACTTTCATCACTTAGCTGAAAACCAGCTACCTTCTGCCTGATCACAGGGGATTCAGCATATTGCATGCGTGCCAAAGACATGGCAATAGTTGGCAATACTTGGGCACGATCTGATATGTTCTATCTCTACTGTTAGAAAGTCCATGATGTATCATTTCATGTCCATACCTTGAGAAAGGGTACATGAAAAACACCGGGCGCCAATCTCGTGAGACGGTAATCTGATTTACACCAGACCTGATAACCTTTGTACGTTTTCTCTGGAGCCAGAATCAACTGCTCGAAAATAATGTCTAACAAAGAGGAGGAGTGTAGGCTTTCCAGTACTTCAATACAAGTAGTACTTTTACTTCTGCTGTGAGTCTTTGTGGACTTTCTCTTCTTGGAGGTTCCCGGAAGGTTCAGGCTGGATATGAAGTTCTCGATAGCATGTTGGTCAGTTGGCTCAAGTGTCTCCGACAAGTCATCTTCAGAGCGTGGCTCGGATCTTGCTTCAGCTTTCTTTGTGGTCTTTTGCCGTTTCATTGCCTTGGAATTTCTTTTGAGTGGTTCTTGTCGCTTATCAGACCTGCGAATATCGATCGTTATCAGTAAACTTCGAAACGGGGTCGTCCATGCTGAGGCTGGAGCGACAAGAGCTGACGAGAGATCCGGATGTTGAAGTGAGAAGGACATAAGACCAGGGAGCGAGGCCGATGATGATTTATTGTACTCGAGATGGATGCCAAGGCGTTCCCAAATCTGCAAAACTAAATTAGTAGTGGATAATTGTCCAAAGAATGTTGGAATACCTCGGAATCACTGATTGCTGCGATGACACTCTCGAGATGATCATGTTCGAAAATAGGCATGTCGTCAATGGACAAGGAGACTTCAATGCAACAAGCACCGGCTCGATTGATCCATAGATGTGAGTCTGTGACCGCCGACAAGAGATCATTGGCATTTTGGATACTTTGTGCACCGGGTGGGTGGTCGATGTTCAACGAAGGTGTTGCTGTGAGTTCAACATTTGCCTGTTTTGCAACTGCCCGTATCGTCGGCAGTCGCAGCGCAGAAGACATGGTTGTTTCGTGCTTCAGGCGTCACTGGCAGGATCATTGAGGATGAGTTACCTCGGGGAAACTGATGCAAGGCAGACCACGGGTTTTGCACCCATTCAACAATTCTTTGTATCTCGGAAGGTGGTTCTTCAACTTACCTGCCCACCTGACGGAACTAGACACATAGGCAAGGAAGGTACTATGAGGTGCCTGCCCAACCCATCAGTGCACGGGAGCATCGGTCACATAGCAGGGAGGAAGGAGCAATTGTAGTAGGATTCCGATAATCCGGGTATGTGTTTTGACGAGTGAGCATGCAATGATTTGCAGCCAAAAATTAACCTAAATTGCATGTGTATGCCTTGAGACGAATTTCCAAGATAGGTACAATATCACCCAGCAAAACCCCAGGCGCACCGTCATCTGCACATCCATCAAGCTACCAAATGTCTATAAAGCACGCCTGCGCAGTATTTGCATCCGACATAATAAACAAATGTGCTTTGCCCCCAAACTCCTTGCAATTAATTAATAGACTACTTCGCAAACCATGGGAATTTCTTCTTCGCTGGCTCGGCAAAGCCACCAGAGCCGCTTTCGACCTGTACACTGCGTTGATAAATGTCCTGTTCGACATGTTAGTAGTGCCTTTGGCAGAAGTGACTTGGGTTCCTTACCTCTTCATCCGTTGGCATCCGGCAACCCAAGATCAGCTCTCTAGCATTGTCGTGCTTGGCGAGGTTTGGGTACGATGCGCCTTGGCTCTTCATCATTGGAAGCAGAACCTCTCCGAGAACCTCGAACTTCTTCCAATTAATGCGGTCTCCGTCTGCGCCGACAAAGGTCCTGCTTCCCTCCTCTGCTGATACCAAGTCTCGCCGGTGGAGAGGAATAAACGGGATCCTAGGGAGAGATGAATTCTCCCATGCTAAACGGTATGCAAAGTGACTCTTTTGCGTGCCCATAAGGATACCCAACCGGGCAAATCTCTTTTGTATATCGGCTGGCACTAGTGCTCTCGTCTGATTCAACCGATGGATGGCCGTTCCGTTTACGCCAGCTAAAACAGCCGCTAAACCATTGTAGTTGTTCAATTGACGAAGCTTGAGCGAAATGTTCATGAATTTCTCAAGTATTAGCGCTCGATGTTTGGCCTTGTCTCGTAACAGGATCATGTTGGCAACCCATTTGGCGATGTGGTTAAAGTGGTTAATCATCCGGTTAACGTTTCGCAAACTCTTGCATCTTTCCTTTTGTGATGCTGATAAGCTGACATGACGAACGAAATCACGAATCCTAATAGAAGAGAACATGATCCAGTCGATTCTGGTCAACTCGTCCGCAACATCATCAGCCGGTATGTCCATGAAAATATGGTAGCGGAACTTGTTCATGGGCAAGTTATCGGTAGGCTCCAGGCTAGCTGCTGCTCTTTCATAATCCTCGAAAGTGTGGAACTGTACTTGGCTCGAAACACTGCTACTTCGGTCGGCAAGCGAAACCTCCGAGCTCCCGGACGGTCTCCCATCAGTATCAGATTCCACTGTCAGCACACTGACGCCGGATGAAAGCTCGTTCATGTCCTTTGACAAAATCTCGCCCGCTAGCTTGTCACTGGCCTCATCGGAATTCGCCCAACCAGTATCGTCGTCCTCCACAACGTTGAATTGGAGGTGTCGTCGCATATGCTGCGCAGCGATGGAGAAGATCGGTTCAGTGCTCAAATGTCGTATGAATTCTTCCAAATTTCGCCTGGTCTGAGGGCGTGCAAAGTCGCCAGGATAGAGCGATACCCATTTCGCCACCACTTCGATGATTCGTAGTTGTGTCGCCGTCTTAGAGAGGTAGTGCGCCGTCTTGTCTTCTCTCACCTGGTCCAGCCTGGTGAGAATAGCAGTGAACAGCTCACCGGGAGCCGCAAACTTTCGATAAAGGCAGAGGAACACATCCGAGAAGTTGTTGTCTATTCGAGTCAGGCGAGGTGCGAGGAGGCGATCAACCAGCTCCTCAAATGTCACACCTGCATTCTTAGATTGCTTATCCAGACTGTTGTCATCGTTTCTCTGAAGTATTGGAATATCATCGGAATATCGATATGATTCCGCATCAGATTCATCCACATCCAGAAATGAATCGGTACTGGGTTTGTCTAATCGAATCCCGGGAGTCCTGAGCATATTGTTGAGTGTCTGCGTTGGACCTGTTTCTCCTGCTTCGGGATTGGGGCTGGCGGATTGACCTCGCCTAGGGCTACGAGAAGTCTGTGTTCGATAGCCTTCGCTGATTGCAGGAATGGAAAAGCCCTTGAGTAATGAGAAATCGGAGCTCGCTCGGCTGTGCTTGCTATGTTGGCTGATAGGACGTCCAGTGCCAACATCAGGTGCCTCTAGGTTAGCAGCAGATTGCGCTCTTCTGCGCGACACTGTTTCGCCATTCTCTTCTACATTACAGTCAGTAAGCATTGGCTTTTGAATAACCGCCAGGCACATACCTCTTCGTTGCGCCATAGCAGCCCTCAGGATCGTATGTAGACATGTCTTCGCAACCTCAACATCATCTGACGACGAAATTTTGTAGGTAGAAACGCAAGATTTGAAACACGTGTGACTTGCGATTGCCTCAGCGTCAACCTGCCACTCTGCTTTAGGAGTTTCACATTTACAGGCCACTAGGCTGGCAGGCAAGCCGGAATTTGTAAGAGCGGCTGGAGATGTTTAGTAAGAATCTCTTATCATGCACAGAGAATGAATCTCATACCTAGTGTTTGAGGAAGCTCACGCACAGACTCATGATTTGTGACATCATACAAGATAAGTGCAGCATCCACGCGAGGGACAATGTGCCCATTAATTTGTTTGGGCCACTGAATAGGTTGCGTGGGGTTCAGCTCAAAGTACTCGAGGTCCAGCTCCAGTAAAGTTACCGCATGAGAGCCGTTATCAACCAGCATGCGAACACTAGAAGCATTTGAGATAGGTGGCCGTGATAGGCCGAGGACCCGCTGGACAAAAGATGATTTGCCAACGCCTGTGGAACCGATAACGGCAATATTAAAACTCTCCATGGTTGGAGTTGTTTGTGACTGTAGGACATAGAACTGTGGTCAGCCGTCTGTCGCATGACTACTCCCAGAGCCCAAACCCTAAACCTCGTCCAGACGCTGAGCGACACTACCCCGCGAAAGGTAGATCGGAGCGAGGCGACATATGATAAAGTGATGTTTGTTACATACCCAGTATGATGAGGGTGCAGCAGTCAAAGACTCTCGACGAGGAGGAGGCCAGTGTTGATTTGCCTCGTTATCATCGCTGTCCGGGTCCAGCTTCCTTGCTTCCCCGCGGCTTTTGCGTCTGGAGGGCCTGGGGGGTTTGCCGAGATTGTTCCCTTTCGTGTCGTGGAAAAGATGTTCGTGGTCTTCGTCGTCTAGTGATTGGTACACCGAGCTTCCATCAGATTGGTCGTCCTCGGATGCGTTGGCGGCCTGAATTGCCGGGTCGTATGTTTGGAAGAAGGGATCGTCGATGATTGAGCCGACGGAGTCTCGGTGGTTACTGGCCGGCGCTGAGGGATCGGAATCGCTCTCGAGGTTGGAATTCAAAGAAGCTGAACTAGCCGTCGAGTACGGGCCAGGAGTAGCGAGGCCTGGAGTTAGGTGAGCATTTTGCGAACCAGCATAGTTGGGCTGCATGATCGCAACTTCAGCAACTAGGCTGAATAAAAGATAGAAACATAGACGGGACAGGGTAGGTCGAATGCGAAGGACGCAGATATGGAGGGAGCAGATCTCGTGGCGTTTGCGGGGAGGGAAGAAGTCGTGGAGCTCGCTTGAGTAGCTACAGTAAGACGGGTAGAGATCAAACCCGTAGCAAACGGGAAGGGTGGGATAGAAATTCAAGAAGGGATGAAGTCGCTTGTGGGTTAAGTAACGAGAGACAGAAACTCCCCAAAGGTAGAGCAGAACGGAATGCCAACAAACGAGGAAGGGAGACGAGTTTACTGACCGACAAGGCTTTGCACTGTACAGTAGGTACGTTACCGTACCTGAGGTGAGGGACCAACGGAACGGATTGGATCGATATCCAATTGGTGGTTGTGGTACTGTACCTTGACTAGCGAGATGGACGTCTGGGGCGCAGATACCACGGAAACAAGAGCTGCAGGTCAATTTGAAATGACACACAGAAGACCAAACAGGTCGGAGGTATGGATGTCTTCAATTAGTCGTCAATTGAGGGTGGAAAAGTCAGAACGAAAACCAGCAATTAAGACGAATACTGGTGGGCCAGGTAGCCTTGAGGCAATACCCAAGGTAGAGGCCGGGCGGCACCCAAACTGAGACACCTCTCTAATGAGTGCTCGAAACCTATTGGAAACACAGCGTGTCAGTCCAGCCATACTGACGTGATTCAAGACAACCAAAAGGGATGCCCGTAGGAATCTACCCATACCTGCACTGTAGCGTAATGTAGTGGATGGTCTAGTCCAGTAACACAATTGTTGTATCGCAAGACAGGCAGCTAGCCGTTGCAAAGCTAAGTCGGCGATGCCAGTCTTCCTTTACTGCACGTCTGAGGGGCAGCGTCCGAGCCAGAGGCGTCAGCTCAGGTCAGATCTCAGCTCAGCTCAGGAGACGCGCAGTGACGGACCCAGCGGCTTGGTTGAAGTGGATGCGTATGTGGATGTTTAGGCACGCTCTTAACCTGAATTGAGGTGAGGGGATCCCTAAGAAGCAAACGCGGCCAGAGGAATGAAGCACAGAGTATGTGTGTATCAACAAGCTCCCGCCGCTGCGCGAAATGTCGAATCTGGTAATAGGTTGGTAAAGAGGGGGAGGGAGAGAGCGCGCACTGGAACCGAGCCCGTGGATCGGGACAGCCAACGTTTTAGGAGCGGCTGGTCTAAGGTACGGGAGCCTTAGTTGGGTGGACTATTTCCAGTTAAGGAAACTGGGTTCAAAGCGTCAGGACGGTTAATCATTTCTCGGCGGTGTTTTGAGGTTTGGCTTAAATTGGTTGTTGAAGATCCAGCAATAATAATAATGGATAAGCAGCAGTAATAAGATAAACAGGATCACATCACTATAAAACAAAACAAACAAATAACGGCTCGTGACATGAAACGGATCTGATGGATTATTAGTCTCTTTGATCCTAACTGAGGTACCTAGATTGTCTTGACGTTTCTTATGCAAGTAGAAACTGGAAAGGACCTTGTTTTATGGACTGAGTTACATCGCCATCATATTCTAACGCCTACTGGTGTTTGAAATGTTCACGCGCTTGACTATATCACTTTGAGGATCCAATCCCATGTGCCCTGTTGGCGCGCTCTCATCCGTTGGCTGGACTGTAAATGAGAGCACCTCACGCAATTACATCTGCCTCTCTTACAGGGAGCTGCCTTGCTTGCACTTGCTTATTTTGGACAACCATAACTCTTGTTGAAGAAATCAATTTAGGTAGGTAGTTTAGCACTGATATTAGTGGAAGGTCCCCAGCGCGCCTACCCAACTGGCACTTCGATAGGTACGTCGCTGCTTCTCATATGGCGTGAGCTTCCATGTGAAGTGCTTCATTGTCACTCGCTCCTCCCCCACCCTTATCTGCACAATAAGACGCCAGGATTCCATTTGTTCACCAACCAATGCAAGGCACCAAACGTTGAATGCGAGGAACGTTCAACTCCGCCTGACACTATCAGCCACAGTAGGGTCCTGTGCATCAACGTCCTCTCATTTGCCATTATTGTCGTTGCCTTTCTGTACGCTTCACCAGCTTTGGCTCAACGTCCTACAGTCTTCACCATGTATACAGTCACAACGACCATGGAAGATAGTCGAGGTCTTTGTACATGTTGAAGTGTACAGGCAATTATTAGAAAGCCCTCTTCTATTAATGAGACAAGACGGTAGGTTCGCCTGTCAAACCGTTTTGACTCGAGGCATCCAATTCCTACCAATCACCCCTATGAGACCCTCGGACACAATTGAACGAGTTCGGTACCGTGTCTCGTGTATTATTAGTTCGAGGCACGCTTCGGACGCGACTTGGTATACGTTCATCGGCTTACTTAGGCTCAAAATATACACGTCCACAGAGACTCCGACTCCGGATCCGAATAAACGTGGCTCTCTGCTTTGCCGGCAACAAGAATCCCGCAAGCCATCAGATCAATGCGATTCGCTCGAGGCTTGGGCATCTTGGTAACGATATGAACATTTGACCCTGGTTGTCCAAATCGACGTCTCGAATCGAAACGTGCCGATCAAGGGTTCTCTGACATCTAGATTCTCGTTGCACCGCATAAGTCATCTTGTTTCTAGTGCTAGAAACACCGCAGCTGCGTTTTATTCATACAAATAGCCCCTTAGCTTCCCGATTTCTGCTTTCCAGTGACGGAATGAGACATCAGACAGATCGGTCCGGCCCTCGCGAGTGGCGGTCTTCAATCTTCAGATAGTTTGTTCACCAACAACATACTTCGTTAGCGTTCTTCCGTTTCCGTACTGCAGCTCGTTCGTCGTGGGGCTACGGAAACTCATCAAGCAGCTTCCGGACTCCATACGACTTTTAGAGCTTGTACAATGGACAAGTGTACATGATTCATGGAGAAATGACCCAAACCACAAACTTCGATAGCGGACGACCAACATGGATTACCCCGTTCATGGTTTTGTTATCGGCCGGCGCCGACTCACACCATCGTTGCGATTCTCCGACTCTCTTGAAAATCAGTCGCTTAAAATCAACGCAGGCCCGAATGACGTTGTGCGATATCGCATGACCAAGACACCTTGGACTTTCCTGGTTATGTCATAGGCAAGTCTGAGAGTCCAGGAATTGACTGACTCGGTTGAAATCTAGATACATAAAGATGGAAGATGACGATACATGCTCAAACGACAGATTATACCAGCTGTTGTACGATATGGCAGAACTCTATTGGGCTTCTCATACAACCGAATATTCTATCAAGAAACTAGAGGTGGCATACATGCAAGACATGAACGACTTTGGCCGTTATGTTTCATGTTCACCAAGAGCCTAGGGGGCAATGAGGAGGAATGACAAGATATCACAGTCGTTCACGCCGGACTTACTAATTTCAGGGCATTTGTCAGTTGTTGTCCGGGTTTGTGACCAACTTTTTAAGAGGATTTGCTTTGACATCAGCCCAACAGCTGAGTCAACAAGCAACAATTGTCTTGGCACATTCCCGAGCACCCAAGCGGGAACCTTCGACTCGGCAAGAGCACGAGCCGCTTTGTGTGTCCTGTCAATGCCATACATGGATCGCTCCCGTGAAGTATAGCGCCGCCAACACAGGGTATCACAACTTTATTCCCAGTCAACATGGTACACTTGTCAGTGTAAGCTGATATAATCTGAATCTAAACGTCGGGATTTTGGCAGGAAGCTACAAGTCAATAACCCATTTCATTTCCAAGTGTTAGAGATGCGATCATCATATATCTCGAGCATCTTCAAAATGCCATGATCAACTTGCACGATCTCGGCCACATCACGATTTGGTTGATTACTGCTCTTTAACCGAGTGCTTGGAAGATGATGGAGAAAGCTAGTCAAGTACGACAATAACCGAAGCCTCTGCAACGAGCAAACACACGCGTCTGTGTTTGGTAAAGTTGGTCTCACGAGTTCTGGCCCCTCTGGAGGAATTCCATGTATTTCAACACCATGCCTGCAGCAGCTAGACCGGATCGCAAGAGGCTGTGTACCTTAGGGTCCACGTTGTTTTTCCATGTACCCGGAACAGCTTGACATTTTCTCGTCTATCTCTTGATGTGACATGAGTAGTCTTACCATGTCTGTACCAAGGCCTGGTAAGACAAGGCAATCTGTAATGTTTTACTCATGATTTCTTGCAAAGTAGTCCATACAAAGAGCGAGTACACGGAACTTCAAGAGAAAAAATATGGTAGCAATCAGCCTTGTTCCTTTGGACTATCTCCCAAAACAGCCATCTCCGAAGAATAAGGTTCTATCAAATATTGAGTGAGCAACGGGATGCACTTCTTCTCGGCGATCAGGAACGCAAACCATACATGGCAACTATACCATGGCTTTGCCCGGACCGGTCCATGAGCCTGGAAGCCAATGAGCCTGGATGATACTATGGATCAATGTCCGCCATCGCCGACTACCTCAAACTTTCTCCCAGTGGGCCGGACCTCGAGAGCCTTGAGGTACCTTAACGGGGATGGAATAATGACTGTTGGTATTGTTTCTAGCTGGAGGTATTTATGTTGCCTGCTCCCCAATGCTTGTCCAAGGGAATCTGAACCCCTGACAGTTCAATCTTATCATTATCTGAACACAGAGCAACACCTCATCACTCACTTTCCTAACTCCCATTCAAGAAATCATCATATCGGTATTTAGTACCGTGCATCAACCACACTGGCCTTCCAGCCTTTAGGATCTCATCCAAGTTCAGCTTCTCGAAGCTCGGCACTCAGCTTAAGTATCATGGCCACAACCATGTTGTACACAACAGGTGCCTCAGTAGAGGAGCCCTCTCACAGTCTCACAAATGCTACGAATAACTCTGGGAGGGCAAGACATCGACCAAAGGCGTTGCAGATCAAACCATTGGACCCCAACGAGCTGAGCGCCAAGTTGGATGACCTTTCAGTTGGTCCTTACGGCCAACCCAGCCCTTCAATCCATACCGAAAACTCAGCCAGGCCGCCGCTATCTGCTACAAGCATGGGTGCACCATCCCCTAGGACTATCCCCGCCATAAAGCAATCTGCACAGACAACCCCAGTGTCTTCGAGATCTTTCAAGAAGGACAAGGTGGACGACAAGCTGAGCCTACTATCGCCCACAAAGCCTCCACGCCGGGGTAGCATCTTTGATGCGTTCCGTTTCAGGGGCTCAAACTATACTGAAGAAGCACAAACACAAGAAGTGGAAAATGCTCCAAAGCCCGCTCGCTATAAGCATGTTCCTCAAGTGGCAGCACAACAGTTTGCTCGTACCACCACTGTAGAGCCTTTGACACAAAAGGCTTCACCTAATGGCCTGAGACCTCCTCCTGGTCCTCGCTCCATGAGCAACGCCACCATATCGCTGCAGGAATACAACAAGCAGTATAGGCGAGCACAGAGTATCTGCAGTGGCAGACCATCGAGTGGCCACAACCATTCAAGGAAGGGCAGTTATGCGGAGATGAACGAGCGATCCTCCCAGCAAAAGAGACAGAATCCTCGGACTTCCATGTACTGGCAGGGCAATAGGCCTGAGCTACCAAGAAGAATGAGCACAGGCAACATGTCGGGGAAGAACGACCCGCAGCCCCCATCTCCGTTCCGACGAGATTCCGCGAGCGTTGGAGGCTTTCAGGGAAACAATGCCCCAAGCTTAAGAAGAGGTTCTGCTAGCTCATCGGGGTTCTCAGACACATCATCATCGTTCGCGCGTGATTCTGGCCTAGCTACACCGTTGAAGCAAGAATTTAGCGGAAACACTTCACCCAACCGTCGAGGGTCTGAGACTAGCGCCGCAACTTCTGGATCGCGAAGAGGCAGCTTCGTCAATGTCCCAAACCCCCAGCACACAGCCGAGATACACCGCGTGGACTGGTCTCAAAGCGATCAATCCACCAAGATCCAACAAGATTCCAAGTGGGGAGGCCTTAAACAGCGGAAGACCAGCGTAAGCCAGCAAAAAGCTAATAACGAGAAAGAAGGTCCTCATGTCATCGAGGCAGCGGTTGCTATCAAGTCGCCAAAAACTGGATTCTTCAAACGATTGATGCATTAGCAAAGCCGTGGATAAGTGCAGAAAACACAGAAAGCTGGACGCAAGAATATAATGAGAATCATAGGAGCAACCTACCCATTACTGTAGTATTTCACGTCTATTTAATATTAAGATGCTTGTTTTGCGTTGCAAGATATAATCGCACTCTGTAAATGGTGGGTGGTCTGGCGCGGACTCGCTAGGTAGTTCAGCGTTTCTCTTGTGCCATCAGGCGTTCAATAAACTCAGTGTCTTTCTGCGCAAATTGTTGTCTCAGTACACTGTCCGCATCTATACCCGCGCTTGTGTTGTTCAAGAGGTGTAGGACAAGCTCCGAGTATTCGCGAATAGCATCACCCATCTCGCCATCTGCATGGCGCGCCTTGCGCAAAGCGTCTTTGCCTTTCTGCTTGCCGATGTCGTCATTCCAAACCTCCTGTTTTGGTGGAGCGCCCTTGAGAAGGGAGGCAGGGATCGCAGATTTGGTCTCGGGTGGTGGGCGCGTCGCAGCATCGATCTTAAGGAGCTGTTGAGGCAATTTGGGGTACTTTCGGAAGAGGCGACGAAGCTGTTCGGACTGTTCTAGAACTTGGTATGGATTCGAAGAATCGAATGGTTGCGGTTCCGAGGCTTGTTGGGTTTGCGACTCCGGTTGTGAAGGCTCAGGCTGAGGTACTACTTCTGGATCGGGAGGGTGATTTTCGCGATGGATCTTGTTACATGCGACAGAGCAACTTTGCAGAATGCTCGTTAGCCATTGGTTGACTTCGACAAAGATAAGACTTACTATGGAAGACGACATCGCGGACACTTGTATTTGGGAGGATTCGTGTTGCATACACCGCATAGCGAAGGGTTCGGTGCGCTTGTTGACTTGTCACCATCTTCAGTCTGAGCTTGGTTAGTTGGCGCAGGAGCTTCCTCCTCCTGCTGCGTTGGAGTATCTGGTTTCTCTTGTATTTCTGACATCGTAACGACACAATGAGCAAGAAGCGAAGCAAATGATGTGATCGTAGAGATTTAGTGGTGATAAAATAGAAAAAGGTATGGTATCCGAAAAGATTAATACATAGGTCAAGAGAGAAGAAAGATGCAACCTCGGAACCTAAAAAAAAAAGATCGAGACAAAGTTCAAGGGGTCCAAGTTCGCCCCGCGTCATTGCGCGCTTCGGCCGAGACCCCAGCAACGGCAACAGAAGGAGAAGAAAAAAAAAGAAAGACATGGTCCGTGCTTCCATATGGAGTCTTCAACTGCCTTGCATCATAGGAAGCTCACACATTACTAATGCTCAGGCCAATCACGGGCTAGATAGTTAAGGTACACAATTAGTTACCGAGAGCGGCGAAAAGTTGCGATCATAACCGTCAAGTCCGAACGGTTTTTTCTCTTTCTCGAACAATCCTTACCATACAAGTCCGATATATATTGATATTCTTCCTACCTTTCGCATCGGAAAAGAGCCATTGTCAATTCTTCCTACAATAACACTCTCCAACTCCTACGCCATGGCATCCTCAAGGACTATGTCACGGACACTGGCCGCCCTCACCCGGCCTGTCACGGAAACAGCCCCGCGAGCAGTTCCACGATGGACTCGTTCACTCAGTACAGTCCGATCTCAGATCCCCTCTGTTTCTTCTACCTCACGACCACTTGCGCAACGACAGCGCATCCTTAAGACGACAGCACCGAGTCTCGCTGGTATCGGCAGCGGCGTCCGAACCATCTTCATCCAGACGGAGAATACCCCAAACCCAGATGCCCTCAAGTTTCTACCAAACCATCGAGTTGTCCCCGAGGAATTCTCTACGCCTTTTATCGAATATCTTAACCCCCGGGCGACCATCTCCCCGCCGCACCCCTCTCCGCTTGCCGCTAAGCTCATGAACATTGATGGAGTTACTTCGGTATTCTACGGCGCCGACTTCATCACCGTCACCAAGGCTGCCGATGCCAATTGGGCGCATATCCGGCCCGAGATCTTTGCTCTCATTACAGAAGCTATCACTGCAGGCGAGAAAATTGTTACCATCTCTGAGCGACGCGAGGGAGAGTCTGGTGCCCCTGTCGAGGAGGATAGTCTTGCTTATAACGAAAACGACAGCGAGGTCGTTGGTATGATCAAGGAGCTTCTCGAGACACGAATCCGACCAGCTATCCAGGAAGACGGTGGAGATATTGATTTCCGAGGTTTCGATGATGAGGGCTATGTGCACCTGCGTTTGCGAGGCGCTTGCCGTACATGCGATTCAAGCACAGTGACCTTGAAGAACGGAATCGAGGGCATGCTGATGCATTATGTGAGTTTTGATAACGATGTTTGTTGCCCGTCCCCAGACTAACACTACTCCAGATCGAAGAAGTCAAGGGTGTTAAACAAGTGATGGATCAAGAGGAGGAAATTGCCCTGCAAGAATTTGAGAAGTTTGAGGAAAAGCTGAAGCAGCAAAAAGGCCAGACTGCTTCAACGGGATAAATCAGCCAAAAAAGGATTATAGCTCAATTCAATCTGTATATTAGTTTGGTCGGACAATTTGACGATACCCACGCATAATCTAGCTCTCTCTTACCCTCTTTTGCTTCATGTTTTATCCCGTTGTATACCAGTAATAATGACGGCTGCTCGGTCGCAAATCAACGTATGGACATGTGTTTTCGGGTACCTGCACTTCTTGCCTCGGATCTCGCTGCCTGTAACATATTAGAGCGGAGGTTCCGCTTTGAACAGCCTCATAATCTCAACTCATCCTGTCGCTTTCGAGAGCTGGCATCGAGGTGTAGTCGTGGTCCAGGGATAGCCGCCCACTATAGGCCCGCCACGACTGCTGCAATGATACATCCCATCCATTGCATGAACCCCAAATGATTGGCAAAATCATTACCACAAAGAACGTGAGTAGTCGATGCTATTTATCAGTATTAGAGCCGAACAGCGAAGAGATCGGAGATCAGTTTTAGAGCGCGGCACTAGGCTCATGTTGCGACAAGCAAACCGTACAGTACCGGAGGTATTGTCGATAGCGTTGACTAAATTTGGCCTGAGGATTCGAGCTACCAGAACTAAGTCGGTGGTAACATGTAATCCATATCTCGTAGGATGTCCGTCTTTGACGTATGCCGTTGGTTCACAACTTCCGCGCGAAGCAAACGAAGCCAAACGGGGCGTGGGCTTACTTTTGTTGGGTCTGAAATAAAGTCTCTCCTTTGGAGACTTTTAAGCGCACCAGGCTGCTTCGAGTACGCCCGTTGGTGGCTCGTGTTATTGCTTCTGATGTTTTGTTACACGATCATCACACCGCAGGTGCAGGAGTCGAGACGCCTCAGACGTTGATATCAACTCAATCTGTCCTGTTCGAGCAGGTCAAGTGACTGAAACATCCAGGAACGACCTTGCCTGGTATGCCTGTACCCAGGTTTAGCAGGTGACTGGAAGAGACTTGAATTGTTCTTATGACTTCGATTGAAGAAAAGGATCCGCATATAGATGTAGGGGACCCTAGCAGCCTTCCATATCCCCCACACAGACATGGAAACATTACTAGACCGATTCATAGGTCACCGAGAGTTTGACCCTGAACAACATGCGCCAGATCGCATGGATCCGAAGATAAAGCGTTGCATAGGTAATTTTAAACACCGCGATTGGCCCGGTTGACGCGATCTGGAAGCTTCCGGGCATCGTTTAAAATAAGTCATGTTCGCTCTCGCAATGGCTTACCCAAAAGGTAACGTTGAGTTGGAGGTAAATGCGAATGCGTGGTAGTGAACTTGGACCCGCTTTGAAGCTCCAACTCGTAGAATTAGCCGTGCCAGTTAAGAGCCGCCTTGAAGATACCAACACCTCCTTGGCTCCGCCGGAAGAATGTCACTGAACGACGTCAAGTCAAGACTGCAGTTCTGGTTGGTGGTGGATAAGCTGGAACCGGAGAGCTGCCGGCACCCTCACAACGGTGAAGTAACAGTAAAGAAGAGCCCTGCATCAATATGCCGGGACTCTTTAGAAACAAGCATGTGTCGCTGCGCTCTGATGGCCCGGCGGCGTAGCTATGTACATGGACCGGATATCTGCCCAGAAGGAGCTTGGCCCAATGGCCGGCAAAAACTGTTGTCTGAATTCAACCGCGAATCTTAAAGAGCAGCCACTCTGCACTAGAAGCCCGTTGTAGTGGGATGGCGTCTTGGGGTTCCCCGGGCCGGTTTCTGTGATTGGCGCGGGAGACAAGACGCAGTGGGCGATACAGCCTCCACCGAGGCAATAACCCCACAAACCCCTCAAGCGAACGACGTGGGCGAGCTGTTGGCGCGTTCCGGATCTCAAGGCCCTGCGTTCTTGTTTCAACGTGGGGAATCAGATTTGCCATGCTACCAGGCAACCAAACATATACCGATAGCAGCGCGCATGACCCCAAATTTTTCTCCGTGCAAGGAGAGGGTAGTGTAATGATTTAAAAGAGCCATTGCGCCTCGGTCTAGACGGGCTTGTCAACTCTCTTCGTGTCTTCTTCTGCTTCCCTTGAACTCATAGACATCTTGACTTGTGTCGCAACAACAACCTCAGACTCCTACCAGACAAGATCTATACGCATTGCCCATCATGAGCCCCTCCGCAGTCGAAGGTAACGGAGTCGCAGACGTCAAGACGAACCTCAAGCCCAACGTTGGTGTTTATACCAACCCCAACCATGATCTCTGGGTCGCTGCCGCCGAACCTTCTGCCGAAGCTGTCAAGTCTGGGTCTGACTTGAAGCATGGCGAGGTCAGTGTAGCTATCCGAAGCACTGGTATCTGCGGGTAATTGCCCCTCGCTTTTAACCCCGCCTCACTAAGAGCAATTGCTGACAAGGGTATAGTTCTGATGTTCACTTCTGGCACGCCGGTTGCATCGGTCCTATGATCGTCGAGGGAGACCACATCTTGGGACATGAATCTGCCGGAGAAGTCATCGCCGTGCACCCATCTGTCAGCCATCTCAAGGTTGGCGACAGAGTCGCCGTCGAGCCCAACATTCCTTGCGGTACCTGCGAGCCCTGCCTGACTGGCCGATACAATGGTTGCGAGACCGTCCAGTTCCTGTCTACCCCTCCTGTCCCCGGCATGCTCCGTCGATACATCAACCACCCTGCTGTTTGGTGTCACAAGATTGGAAACATGTCATATGAGAATGGTGCTCTTCTCGAGCCTCTCAGTGTTGCTCTTGCAGGCATGCAGAGGGCTGAGGTTCGCCTCGGAGACCCTGTTCTGATCTGCGGCGCTGGACCTATCGGATTGATCACACTACAGTGCTGTGCCGCCGCCGGTGCTTCACCCATTGTCATTACTGATATTTCAGAGAGCCGATTGGCATTCGCCAAGGAGCTCTGCCCCCGCGTTATCACACACAAAGTCGAGAGACTCTCTGCTGAGGATTCCGCAAAGGCCATTGTCAAGAGCTTCGGCGGCGTGGAGCCCACCGTAGCTATGGAGTGTACTGGTGTCGAGAGCAGCATCGCCGCTGCTGTCTGGTCTGTCAAGTTTGGCGGCAAGGTCTTCATCATTGGTGTTGGAAAGAATGAAATTAACATTCCTTTCATGCGCGCAAGTGTTCGAGAGGTCGACATTCAGCTACAATACCGATACTGCAACACCTGGCCCCGAGCCATCCGCCTGATCGAGAACAACGTGGTTGATCTTTCCAAGTTGGTTACCCACAAGTACAAACTTGAGGATGCCATCAAGGCCTTTGAGACGTCGGCGGATCCTAAGAGCGGGGCGATCAAGGTCATGATCCAGAGCTTGGAATAAAAGACGAAACGATGATCAAGATGATGAACATGGTGCTTGGCGTATGCTTTTGAATTCGAGGCGCGAGTCTATAGAAGACTGTGTAAATAGCCTCTATTGGGATATAGACATGAGAATTTCAGAAATTTGTGAAGAATTGCTACCTATAGAACGTAGGCGATGATGTCAGAAAGACTTACTTCTTTGTTGGTCGGGTAATTCTGATCAGATTTATCTTCCACCTCATCATTTGAGAAGTAAATATCCTGATTTTAAGGCAAATAGAAGAATATCAAGATTCTTCATTTTTTGTCATGTCCAAAGAAATCGTGGGGAAATGTTTTGTTAAAGTTCACTCAGTGGTTCTTGCCTTTCATCCAGCGGGAGCGCGGGCGCCTGTACCGAAAAGGGCTTAGCGCATCCGTTTCGGCTCCAACCACCATCCAGCGAGTTCTCCCGAGCTTTTTTTCTCCCTCAGACGACCTCACTCAAGATCACGACCAGCTTCGACTCCATCAATTGACCACCCGCAGCCGGTCCATCCACCCCACGGAGCTCCGATTTCGAATCTACGAGGCATCTCGCACTCTTTTTCTCCCTTAACCGTCGCCATGTCTTCCCTCGCTCGCCCCATGCTCCGCTCGCCGGCCCTACGTGTCGCCGCCCGACGATTCGAGAGCACCACTGCCCAGAAGGCTGCCGATAACGCCAAGAAGGCTGCTGAGAGTGCTAAGCAGGCTGCTTCCAGAGCTCAAGAAGGTCTATCACGCGTCACATCTACCGCCGGTCCTGCTATCGCTGGTTACGCAAAGGGCATGGCTAGCACTTTGGGCAAGGTTGGCGGACGAACGGGCAAGGTCATCGGCTTTATCGAGCGTACGTGGATAATCATTTGAGGCCCAGTCGTGGACCGCCGCATACTGACACCAAGAATAGGACAAGTCCCCTTCGTGGTCTACTACTCCAAGGTCGGTCTTGAGATCGGCAAGTTCGTTTTCCAGAACCAAAAGATGAGCCCTCCGTAAGTTGCTCCTATAATTGCCTCGCCATGGCGGGACACTCGGCTAATGCAGGCCCCAACAGTAACATGGCCACTTTCCAAACTACCTACCAAAACCTTATCAAGTCCATCCAGAACCGCACCATTATCCAGTCTTCTCAGAACCTTGTCCAGCAGGTGAAGAACATCGGTCCTGCCCAGCTCGCTGCCGGTGGTGTCGTTGCGGCTGAGGTTCTCGGTTTCTTCACCGTTGGTGAGATTATTGGTCGATTCAAGCTTGTCGGCTACCGCGGCGAGGTTTCTTCTCACCACTAAACGTGTCTCTTGTATCGGAGCAGGAGTTGTAGGGATCAATCAGTGCTGGACTGTGATGAACAAATAAGGACGAATGGGCTATAGACATGAGCCTCCCTGGCCGAGGAAGCTTGGGAGGGTCTGGTTGGCGACTGATCGTTTTGCGGAGGAGTTGAAAACTGGGAGATTTGGGAATACTGATCTCACCGGACCTCGATGTTTGTCCTCGGAGCATCTTTCTTTTGTAGAACTGTACATCAACTAAGCCGCGGCGGGTAGCCCCCGTCGTGGAGGGCTTTCGACAATGATATCTAATAACGAAATGAGCCTTCTTGATGGGAGGTACCTGTAACATACTGTTGCCATCTTGTCTTCCAGTGCATTCGATATCCCGTGAGGCTCACCCACCCATGACTAGCTGGTTTATGATAATAGCTTTAATTAATCAAGTGAGATACTTGTCTAAAGCTGATCTCAGGACAATTTAAAGCCACACCAAAATCTTCAAGCCTTAACAATGGACAGCTTATAGACACAAAAGTAATTTTCTACTCCAATCTTGAATATGATAAAGTAACCTTGCGTTGTAGGTTGATCCTCAATGTATTAATTAGAATGAAGATATTAGACATCCTCGATGCAAGCCATTAGTACACAATGCAATTCCAAGCAACTCTCCCATTCGCAAACTTGTGGACTGTCTAGGCAATACGGAGTAAAAATCACTCATCACGCTCAGTACTATGTGTGTGGTTTCTACTCAGCCTCTCACATGCAAGAGGGCTACATAGTACTGAGCCCACAGTATTATCAGGTAAAGTTTGAGGTTGTAGATAGTTATTCACATTCGCGATCCCACCATAACTAAGACCGACCATTATCTTGACTTGAAACTAAATTCTGATTACTCAACTGGTACCGCAGTAGAGATTCGTGCATTCATGAAGCGAGATGAATACTTTGCGGTAAATATACACAAAGCATTCGATAACTCAACTGGGCTAAGACCTGCGAACAATATGCTCAATTGGGATTTTCTAGATCAAATCGCCAAAATTCCAAGAACCTCGGCCCTGTCGTCCACCTTCTGCTTCTGGAAGCAAGTACAGATCCGGGGTATGGGCTCTTCCATTCGCCTAAATATTCCTTTGCTCTAGGTGAAAAGTTGGCCGAGCGTTTAACTCACCACAGTCTATATCGAAGGTTGTTGTAGGTTTGAAGGCGCAGCCGCGCGCGAAGATCATGTATGAGGTACATGGGACAGAGGGTGGCCCGGTTGAGTCAACCGTGCGATCCGCGTCTGGCTTGGGTTGAAGTCCCGAAACGAGCGAGGCCCGTCCCGAGGTGTGCGGACTTATTATGGAGTCCTAGATTGGCCCTTGACAGGATAGTCTTTTTTTACTCCCTGTGCCGTAACCATAACAGGAGGGTCCTTGCCAGTATACGCGCTCAATAAATGTTGCCCTTGGCAAATTATTGTGACCTGATGACCAATGTTTAGCGGTCAGATAATTTCCAGTGATCGACAGGCTTCTTCATAATGGTTGACAGACTGATGTGATCAAAGCCCCGCTGTTGGTGATACCAGCTTAGATCCTTGTCACCAGCCATCAGTGCCACGCTACCATTGTATGGGAAGGCGCCTCTTGAAACTTGAAGGACCGCCAAAGGTTGAGAAGCGAGAAGCACTACAACATGCTTGGAAAACCGTGATGCCATTTAGGGACCGTCAGGGTATAGCTGCTCCCGCGCCTGTAACCATGACATCCTGTCCGAGGTCGATCCAGGCTTATTGTTGCCCCAGTAAAGAATCGGAGGTGGAAGCCTTATCCAAATCTTGGCTCGAAGGATGAGATGGTGCTGAGCTTTGTTGAGACATGCCCGTACTTGTCCCAAGGTGAACATTCTCCCCCTGAACCGAAGTCAAGACTTTACTGCGGTGAGCCAGGCTTTCGCGCTGTCCAGACATGGCTATAATTGTGTTAGCCAGACAAAAGAAGAAATGAGTCCAGAGACTTACATGTTGCAGTATGTGTGGTACCGTAGAACGCACGTTTCGCGCTTCGCTGTATTACATAGCTCACGAACATCATCAGCCTTGAAGCCAAGTTTTTCAACTAGCGGTTTCATTGCTAGAGCCTCCAAGCTATGAGATAGTCCGATATTGAACCATCTAGCGATCTCCCGCTCGTGTCGATCAGAGGACCAGGGGCAGACGTAGGCGCGGTGAACTTCGTGCTTAACCTCTACAAAACCTGTGGCCTCGAGTAATTGCTGGGTTTCTTGTGGCATGACTCTAGCGGTGCGGTTGAATCGCTCCATCCCGTCAAAGAAAAGCTCCGACCACTTCTCGAATGCGGAATTTGCAGGGCGCTCATCATCGTCACACCGGGGTATCCAATCCACTTCAAGGTGTTCAAGGTGGCCAATGCCTGGGGCCAAGTGCCTGATTAGCAGTTAGCGACGATACTTGACTTGAAGTGTTTACACTTACTCGAAGATATTGCGGTACACTCGAGGCCACAAGTCTGTTTGGATGCTTCCCAATAGCATGCGCATATGAATAAAATCGCAGTCAGTCAACAACGAGCTCCAGACGGGTTCCTCTATATCATATTGTTTTGGTAACACTCCTGGCGGGATCCTGTTACTGTCAATACATATCTCATGAACGAAGTGATATAAGTCTTACAATGCGGGTTGGATCTGGTTCAGGTCAACGGCCATGATTTGTGCATCGGAAAAGCATCTTGAATCATGTTAGCAGAGTGCATGATTATACAAATATCGAGAAAACAAACTCTTCTGCCACATTTATTGCCCATATACCCGTTCCAGTGCCAATGTCCATAATTTTGGGCGCCTGTCGTTGAATGGGAACTCGAAGTGGCTTGTTTTCTCGGGTGAGAAGAAAGACCTTGTGAAAAATGTCCAGACGATTTAGTTCTTCCTGGGGGAAGTTGGTCAACTGCGCATTCCGCTATCACGAGAAGCATTAACTCACTGAATCGATGGGAAACAAGTATTTTCCGGGCTTCCAGGAGCCGTAGAAACGACCGTGTTGCCATATACCATCTTCAAGGTACCGCCCTCCTGACTCGTTTATACTATATCACAAGGGGTGAGCTCGATTGGTCCAAGAAGCATTATGTGAAAGCTAGTATACCTGTTTTGTGGAGGCATCACAACCATGGAGGAAATCGTGGAATATTCCACGTCTTGTCCAAGATCAAGGCAGACCACGAGGCACACAAGTCAATAGAACAGTGTGAGGTGGCTTGACTCTGGAAGATAACGCAAAGGACTTGTGCCGCGAGTTCGAATCCAGGATGAGCGAAGTTTCTGTGGCAGTGGAGAAAACGACTGCAAGTATTAGCAGACGAACGAATGCAAACAAGTTAAGATCCACCATGAGGGTGTATGAGGAAAGTTGACGCGAATATCGTTGAGAGGAACAGAATAAGGATTAGAAGCAGGACACTGCGAGAGGTAGCTGGCACCCACAGCATGCAGTATACGCGTTTTCAGGAGAAAGGCAGCAAGTTTCGCAGGCACACCATGGGGGCTCAATGGCCTGTTTCAACAACTTGAGGATCACCCCCGGGCATGGACCCTAAAAAGGTTCCAAGAACGCCGAACAACAACAAAAGTTGGTGAAACATGGCAGATATACACCGCTGTCGACTGTAGTGCTCCTAAGAATAGCGCATATGCTGTTGGTAGCCAGCAATTGTGCCGAATAAGGGCACGTCTTTGGGGAAATCATGATTGTGAGGAAGGAGAGAGAAAAATGATGCCCAAGAAGCCCCACGAAGCCTTGCCCGCGGTTTATAGTATTAGCACTCACTATATTAAACAAGCTTCAGACTCGAAGTTGTATGAAGCGGATCTCCGTGTAGGGGATATATTGAGGAGCCACCCAGGAAACGCCAAGGATGAATGATAACGGGCCGTCGATTAAGAGCAGATGTTTGAGAGGGTTGGCTCAGGCGAATTGTGAGATTGACCGCAGACGGAATGCCGGTAGCAGACTTCTGGACGGTGAGAAGCTTCAAGTCTGCAGAAGCTTAGAATCCAACAAAGAAGTTTGTTGGGTGCGTTCCAGTCTAGTTTTTCTTTCTCTTGACAAGTTCGTTGGCTGAAGAAACAGGACTGAGGCAGTTGGTGGACGACGAGTGACCCAACTAAGTTGAGTTTGAGGATTGTAGGAGGGGTTTTTCTTCCTCTTAGGTCCCTTCAGTAAAGTGATCGACTAGACAATTGATACCTGGTCTATCAGAGGTGTATAGAGAAAACGATAAAATTCCAGAGTTGAAGGCAAACAATTGCATTGGCAGAGAAAAAAGATCACGGGCGAGAAGGAAGCTGGAGAAGATGAGAGGATGGTCGTTGATACTTATTATTTGGCTGGCCAAAGTGTGGAGCTGGAGCTGGAGCTGGAG